ATATATATTATAAATTATATATATATATATTGAATAATACGAAATATATATATATAAAATTAAGGTGCCCTCGTTTTGTCTATTTCCAATTTTTCTCGCGAGATTTTCGAACTCGACCGCCACTACTTTTAGTGAAATTATTTACAAAGTAATTAAGAGGAAAGAAAGGGCTAGAAGCTTAAAATATATAGGAAATGATTACTTGCTACTATTGTTCATGTCTTAGAACTTTGATTGCCCTAGCTTCTCAGAAGAAATTTTAGTATTAAAATAATCATTTTTCACATTCGAAGAGGCGTTGCAGTTTTCGAGAAAAAGTTTGAAAGATTCACTGTATAAAGGCTTCCTGCCTTCTCCATTTCTCGCCCACTTTATCCAAAATTGAGGTGAAATATTTTTGATATTGGTGGGGTTCGGGGAAGAAATTAGGAAATTGCTTGCTGGAATATGTAGAAATTCGATTAAATATTGTCCTAAAAAATAAGCAATTTTTGGTGAATTTTTTGCAACTTGGGGAGGGAGTAAATCCCCTAAAATCCCCCTCCTTGCTATATTTTCTCACATTTTTAAACTGTTCACCTTTTCAACTCTTTATAAGAATTTTAATGTTAAAAACAATCCTTTTTACTTCATTTAAAACCAATTCATAGTTACACAGGCATTAAAAATTAATAAACATAAAGGGAAATGGTGCTCTCGGAAAATTGTGGATTATGGGGGAAAACAGGTTTTTTTTTTATTCAGAATAAGGAGGTTATTATATGTAAGATTCGGAAATAGGATTAAAGCTCATTTTTTCCCGTGGTATACTTTTTTTTAATGGTGGGCACTTGGGGTTTGTCCCATTGGCCACAGAAAATGACAGAACTGCTACTCTTTTCTCGTTACCCAGTGGGCTCCTGTGGCGAAGCCACGGCGGTGAAGCAGCGTCGCCCACGTTACACTACCACAAACCCGTCTACAGGGCGGGTCACATTCCACAAAGAGGAAAGGACATCGAACACAGAGAGAGAAAGAAACATCCATGCCCTGAGTAGGATTCGAACCAGCAGCCAATGGCTCCGCAGTCAGACACGCTAACCACTCGGCCACCTGGTCGGCCCGTGGTATACTAATGTTTTACTTAAATAGCGCGATAGGAAGTCTAAAAAATTAACAAAACTGTAAAATTTCTTTCTGAAAGTGATTTAAAGAAATAGGATTAATATGAGCACCAAAAATTTGTAATTACTGGGCATTTCATTTCACAAAACTTTCCTATGTATCCAGGTCTACATAAACATTTATATTCGTCTCCTTCTCGCACTTTGCAATTAGCTCCATTTTTGCATTGGCAAATATTTTCACAATGACTTCCAAACGAGCCCATGGGACAAGAAGTTTCACAATATGCTCCAGTGAAACCTGAAAGATAACATTTCTATGTTTTATAGAATTTTTTTTTCATTTAGCACATACTAATGAGTCGAAGACGTTCTACATTTTGTTGTGTTCAAAACATTACTTATTGGTAAGCTTTAGTACTCTATAAATGTGAATTAGTTTTCTGCCAATAGATGCAATGAAAGAAAAAAATTCCGCAATTTCGAAACTTTCAGAATAAGCACAGCTATGAGGTCATTATTCCATAATTTAATATTAAATAAAAGTTTGCTTTTACGGTTTGTAATAGCAGTGCTTATCATACTAAGTACATAAGGAAAAATAATGTGCAGCACAAGTAAATCTGCTCAGTGTTATGAAACAGTCCTCTTCAGAATTGCTCTCAACAATGGGCATTCATATTTTCAGAATTGTTTTAAAAATATATCTACTAGACAGGGGTCATTCTGTCATCAGCATTGCTGGGCTGTACTCCGTTCAGTAAAAATTCATAGCGAAACTAAACAAAGCAACCTGTCACTTAGCATCAGCTTTGGCTGATTGGCGTCGAAGTTATGAGAATGAAGTTATAATCATTATCTGACTAATGATCAATCATGAAAAAAATCACCGACTCAGCGAGAAACCGGCAGTAGGTAATGTAACGTTTGGAAATTCAAGAAGAGATTTAGAAGTTAATACTAACAACACACTCAATGTTATTCAAAATTGGCTAACAAGTAATAATCTCAATTTATCAATAGACAAATCTGTTTTCATCTAAAATTAATACAAAAACCTGAGGCATAAGCCAGAGAGCTCGTAAACTCATATAAAAAACTGTAATAATCCCATCCTTAGACCATGGTTCATGTACATGGGCACAAAAAATCTCGCATAGAATCTCTAGAATTTTAGACTCAATCCAAAGGAAATTTCTTCTGAATATCACAAGAACCTTTTATTCCACTCCTACAGCTGCTCTACAAGTCTTAGCGGGATTCCCACCTCTCTCAGAACAGATTGCGTCGTTGTCGCGTTCAATTATCATAACTCAACTTAAAAAAGACATTTCCTGTAACAATATAAATTATCAATACAGTACTTACGAGGAAAAGCAAACAATAACGATTTTTCACCCTTCTCAGTCTATCAGTAATTTAATCAGCTTAGCAGAAAGTAAAAACTATAATCGCTTAGATCCATAAAATTTTTTCGCAGACGGTTCGAAAACAAATACTGGAACTGGTTTTGCATTCTTCAACATAAATCATTCTAATCATTACACAATTAATAATAACAACTCAGTCTTCCAAGCTGAACAACTTGCTATTTAAGAATGCATTAGATTCATCAAATCACAGACTTCATGTAAGGCATCTAAAAAATATACAATCTGGTCGGATTTTAAAGCAGTATTATACTCTATAATCAACCCAGGCACGAAAAATTCACTCTCGGCTAAAATACAAAAATTACTCCTTAATACAAATATATTTATCTCATGGATTAAAGCACATGATGACAGAACAGGTAATGAAAATGCAGATGCCCTGGCTAAATTATCGACAATTAAACAACAAAATTACTCATATCCCTTCCCGATCACACATCTTAAGAATCAACTTCAGAACTCTTTATCACAAATTTGGCAAAATTATTGGAACAATTCAGATAAGGGAAGAAGATTATATAAAATTATTAATAAAGTAGATTATTTTAAGACGATACCATCAAAACAAGAAATCTGGTTTCTAACTGGGCATGGTCCTTTTCCATGTTATTTTAAATTTCTAAAAATCTCAGATAATGATCACTGCACGTGCGGCCTTCTGGGCACTCCAGAACACTATCTTACAGAATGCATCTATACAGCTTCATGGCATACTCGTGCATCGAATATCACTAATCTACCAACTTGGCATAAACAATTTATAACTAACAATACACTTAAAACCCAATTATTAGTAGTAATGAATTTTCTTTCTGATAATGATAGTATATTCTGAAATTTTAAATTAAAAAAAAATTATTATATGTTTTGGAATGTTTACCTATATGTTGTAAATACTGTACATATCTTTTCTATTTAATTTTTTATTTATTATTATAGCATTTTAATTACTTTCTTTTATTATTTAATATCTGGAAATCAAAATTTTAATGGAGAACTAAAAAATAAATATTTTTTTATTAACCTTTTTTTTCCTTTATATTAATTTACTTTTCAAAATTCATTTATTGTCACTTTCTATATGTCATATATATAAAAACAAATCTTGTTTAAACTATAATTAATATTTCTGTATATTTGAAAGCAAATTAGTATTTCTGTATATTTGTAAACAAAATTTTAACCTCCTTTCTTTTGAAACTTTAAATAATTGATTGAGGTTTGCTGGAAGTAGTGGCCAGACGCGGATTATACGGTAAGTTGTTTTACTAACCTAGGTACGTATCCGCAAAGAAAGTAGGTAATGTTGGCGATAAACAGTAAATCTGTGGTTACTTCCACTATCTATTTTCGCTGAACAGAACACAAGCAAATTTACAGGATTTTTTTTTAAAGAACGGTTTTTTTTTTAAAAAAAAAAAAAAAAACTCCCCCAAAAATTATTAGCAATTATAATATCTATTTCTTCTACTACAGGTAATGATGAACACATTTTTAGTTTTAAAAATAATTTGAAAGCTAATTTTTATAAATTTGACTTATTTTTAATATCTACGATATCCACAAATAATTATCATTTTTTAATTATATTAAATCAAGTATTTGAACCATTCAACTGCTCTGTTTTTAACAGATGCTCTATACTTACTTAGCTTTTATTTTCGTTAATTGATGACTTTGGTTAAAAGAACAGTTCCACTAATCTTTAATTCGATGTTGTTTTTTTTAAATTGCAATTAAGACTTTTAAACTTTTCAACCTGTAAGAAATCTTTTTCTTTTAATTTTCTTTTTTAAGACGTCCATTAAAATCAATAATTTACTTTCTTCTGTTTCTTATAAAAACAAAAATGTTATAAAACATATGAAAATTTGTAAGAAAAACGTTTCAGAATAATTAATTTTGCTCGTTTAAACACAGCTCAACGATAAAATAGGGCTCTTACTATTGATATATTCATGCCACTAGCTTAGAGAAACACAAGAAATTTTGCGTTATTTGTGTATAGCAGTTCACACCAAAATTCCATCAAGAATAGTGCATCATCAATTGTTCCTATTCTTTGAATTAAGTAATGCGAAAATTTATGATAACAATTAGATATGGTACTTATAAGAGTCAAGAAAGTTATTTACGATGCTATTGAAAGAAAGAACGGTTATTTTAGGATTCATGCACACAAATTCGTGAAATAAAATTAGTTTGTAAATCAAACATATTTATGGCACAGAGAGGCAAAATTGAATTAGGCTTAACAGAACAGAGGCGAATAGCAATTAAATACAATGAAATTATTTAATACAATTGACAAGCATTTAAAAATTAAGATATAATTATCCTGATTACACAACAAAAACATACAAACATTTTGTATCGATCAGACTTGTTTCTGTTATAATCTTACCCGATCTCTCACTAGATCCTAAACAATCGACTGCTATATACTCAAAGTACGCCAAAATAAGTGTTTTTCAGGCTAGCATAATTTGACTGCGCATGCGCATTTTCCATTGTTGGTAATATATCTCGATTAGTGTATATAAATGCTTAATTTTTTATTTGAAATAAAGTGTTTCTTACCATAATATTTTGATTAGCTCAACATTTGTTTTGGAAAAATATTGCACCCCAGTTAGTAGGGTTTATGTAACTTGTTTAAGACATTATTCTTGACAAGTCAGATTACCCGTAACGCCACAAAGCATACATTAGCTAGTTTTTATCAACTTAAAATAGAATTCGGTGTAAAGTACACTGTAAAACTGAATTGTTTATTTAATTGAAATCCTCACCTGGAGCGCAACGACACGTTCCGTTCATTTTATTGCAAGTAGCTCCATTTTCACACAAGCAATTTTCATCACAATTATGGCCATAATGATTACTATCACATTCTGAAAAGTAAATTAATAATTAATTTTTATTGTGCAAGCATTAAACACGTGGGGAAAAGATCATTAGACAATGCCATCCTTCATCTATCAAAAGGTACCTCTAAATTGAATCAAGTTAGCATGTCTTATATACCAGTGAATTGATGCTTAATAATCGTAGTGGTAGTTACGCCACAAACAGTTTAGCCATGCAGATGTGCTTAACAAGGTTCAATTGAGCAAGCAGAAATTTTTCAACCTATCATCGTCTAGTTAATCAAACATCTGATCTCTGTAAAGGATAACATCCCATGGAAAATCAGCTCAATTAGACTTGGGTCTCTTCAATTTTATTCTTTTTTAGTAATTCTTGTGTTACTTAGGTTTTTATCAACTTCAAGAATATTGTTTTCTTAGATCTAAGAAATGGCTTGTGTAGCATATTAAGCTATCACGTGTCTTTAGGTCTATGATTCCCAATTTTGCTGAATTTTAATTTTTGAAACGTTTCACATTTTGACTAATGATTAAAGATAAATATTATTAATAGTTTTCTTAACAAATTAAAAACTGATATTATTTATCCGATATAAGATATTGCATATGTCGCATATTACGCCAGTGTGTATCTTTAAGTCTATAATTCACTATTTTACGTATTCAAATATTTTAAATGTTTCATACTTTTACTAATGATTACAGATAAATACTGTTAATAGTTTTTTTAACCAACTAAAAAAGTCATATTATTTAACTAATCTAAGATATTGTTTATGTTACGTATTACGCCAGTATGCATTTTTAGGTCTGAAATTCATGATTCTACGTATTCGTATATTTGAAATGTTTCACACGTTGACTAATGATTAAATATAAATATTATTAATAGTTTTTTAGCAAATAAAAAAAATGATCTTATTTATCCAATATAAGATATTGCATATGTTGCATATTACGCCAGTATGTATCTTTTAGTCTACAAATCAATATTTTACGTATTTTAATATTTGAAATGTTTCATACTTTGACTAATGATTAAAGATAAATACTGTTCATAGATTTTTGTTAACTAACTAAAACACTCTTATTATTTAACTGATCTAAGATATTGTTTATGTTGCATATTACGCTAGTATGTATTTTTAGGTCTGAAATTCATGATTCTACGTACTCGTATATTTAAAATGCTTCACACTTTGACTAATGATTAAAGATAAATATAGTTAATAGTTTTTTAGCAAATAAGAAACTGATATTATTTATCCAATATAAGATATTGCATATGTTGCATATTACGCCAGTATGTATCTTTAAGTCTACAAATCAATATTTTACGTATTTTAATATTTGAAATGTTTCATACTTTGACTAATGATTAAAGATAAATACTGTTGATAGATTTTTTTAACTAACTAAAAAACTCTTATTATTTAACTGATCCAAGATATTGCTTATGTTGCATATTACGCTAGTATGTATTTTAAGATCTGAAATTCATGATTCTACGTATTCGTATATTTGAAATGCTTCACACTTTGACTAATGATTAAAGATAAATACTAACAGTGTTTTAATCAACAAAAATTTATGTTATTTAAATGAAATTTATTACAATCATAATAATACGTTTAGAAAAATAATATACCTAAGAAAATATTTTTCTGCGTGTGTAACAGTAAAAAGTTGAATCTGTAACAATAAGTATTACTCATTTATTTCCATATAACCCATTTTTCCTTATTTTATTATTTTTTTCCTAAGCTATATAATTTTTAAGACTTCATAGCATTAGTTGTGTCCTCTTATGAAGACTAGAAGAACAACCATTATGCTTCAAAAATAAGTTGGCTTTTAATAATTTAAAAGTAAATAAGGTGTAAGAAGTGATGTGTATTTAAACCCTTTTGAAGGCCGTGGTAAGTATACTTACCACCACGTTTTACCACTTTTAATTCGGGTTTCCATTTTTCAATAACTTCAGCTTTCTTGAAGTGAGTTTGAATAAAATTGGTAACCATTTGTCACTTTTGAAAAACGTATAAAAGTATAAAATACATAATTCCTTTTGAAGCTTGTAGCATTTAAGGAATTTATTTTATAAATAAAGAAAAACAAAAGTCAGTAAGTTCCAAATAGGTCATGTTAAATATATTCACCACCAAAAAAAATGGCCATTTTTATAAACTAAATGAGTTTTTTTTTTATATCAATTACTGTTCTCAAAACAATTTCAATTCCAAAAGTACTTTAACTTACCTTTACTAGAAATAAAGGGCCCGTTAAAGGGTTAAATAATGCGCAATATGTTTTTATGAATTGCTTAGAACTTATCATTACAAAAAAATTATATTGTTTTTCTTCTTATTATTATTATTACTAAAAGTACAATTATAATTAGGTAAAATGCAATATTACATATTACCGTAAAATTTTCTCCATATTCCTTTTTTACTAGTAAGAAAAATTTAAAATTCACAATTAACCTTTGGAATAAAATCTTCTCAATTTTAAAATAAATCCTGAATATAAATTAGCAAATTTGACTTCACGGCATTGTCAACATTTAGAGTAAGCTTTATCTCGCGGATTTGAAATTTCAATGAGCAACTGAATTCCGGAGAAAAAAGAAAGAAACTGAATTTCATTTCAAATGCACTCATGAAATGAAACGTTCGGTGCTGCAGAAATACTTAATTCGAATTCCCTTAGAAAGACTGTTTTCCAGTTTCAAAGATAGAAAAAAATATATATACCAGATCTTTGAGGTACTATTTTAATGTAGAATACACTGTTGTCTGACTTTGCACAGTCTTAGTTTGAATTGTTCCTCCTCACCGGGGAAGTAATCTTGCTTCGAAAACTGGAAGTTGAGTAAATAAACAAGTGTGTACACAGGAATTTTACAAAACATTCTTCAGCTGAATGTAGATCTTTTTTTACCCACATACAAAGAACAGAATAGAAGGAATTTAGCAAATGTATCTGGCTTTTCAGAGTAATGTCGTCCTACGACATTTGCATCAGAAAGTTTCTTTGGTGATTTTTCTTTGCTGTTCAAAGCAAAAAATAGTTTCCCTTTTATGTACAAATACTATTACTTTAGACAAATTGAATTTTACGTAAAACTAGAATAAGTTTAGAGTTAATGAAAAAATCTAATTTTTTATTAAATTACCTTTGTATATTTTAAGATCTGAATATAATGATGTGAAATTCGACTTATGCATACATAAGGCTGCCTATGTTATTAATATGTTAAAATATAAATTTTAGGAGGGGCCGGGGTAGCCTGTTTTTCAGGGTGCTAGACACACGTTCGTGAGAACGGGAGTTCGAATCCAGCCGGTCGAAAACTACGCGTGTAGTAAATGGTAACTGGTGCACGTTAAGTCTGTCGGGTCACAGAGTTTTCCTTTTTCCCATAACAAAACTAATACAAAATCGGATACTGAATTGGAGATAGATCGTTCTCCAATTTAGGTCAATATTATGTTCTGTGGATGAATAAATGGATGTATGAATGATTCCGTCCTATAAGCGGGAGCGACGAATGAGTGTGGCAGAATTCGAATTTTTGACCATAGATGGAGTCACTGGAAAACAAAAACTATCGCACCAATTGCCTTAATAGTCCACGGCAACAACACAATTGTTAGGAATATTAAACGACATTACTAAATATAACTAATTGCCAATTTTTTTAAAAGGATCATGAGCTTCCATTTAGCTTAAAATAAATAAAATAGTTTAGTAAAATATTATAATACGATTCTTTTGCTTCACAATAATCTTTCTTCGTAATAAAATTAGTAAAGATTCATTTATTTTACAAATTACTATTTCACGATAATGATAATAAAAATCTTATCATTTCTTTTCTTTTCATAATGTGTTTTACATTAATCATACTAATATGCAGAATCTTAAAATTACATAATTAAAATATCAGAAATAATTATAGTTGAAAAGTTATGCTTCTTTTAATTTGTTTAGTTAGACTTTTAATATATGCCATTTCAATAGATTCATATTAATTACTTAGTATAATAAAATCAGAAACTCCTCTTAATTCATATATTATGCAGAACCCAAAATATATCTAAATTACTTTTACTGATTACTAGCTAGCTTTAATTATTAATATTTACTTTTTCTACACTATTCGCTTCACTAATTAAAATAACACAAACCTTTAAATTATATTTATCAATAGCAAAATTTTAATGTTTCTTTTATAGCTATTATTTCTGTACTCATTTAATCTTTAAAAAAGTACGTTGAATTAATAATGCGATTTAAATATTAAGAATTGTTTATAAAAAAAATTATAAATGATTTCGAAAGTCTTAATTCACAATTTTTAAAAGCAAAACATTTATTTCAAGAAAAACAACTCTTTTAAAAAACAATCACTGTCAAAGATGCTCGAACTATAATATCTTGGCTACAAATATGGCAGTTATCATTTAATTCATAGCATCATTAGGTTAAATTAAACTTAAGAATATAAATTGGCTCCAAATATCAAATGAACTGGCTGAATATTGTGCTTTGTTATTTCAATGTATGAGCACTTTAAATATATATTAGTAAAACACCTATTTCCGAAGTAAGTAAATTTTATGAATCAAACTCTAGCATTGAAACATTCAGTAAATTATGTTGTTAACCCTCTCTAACCTGGTGGGACAAAGGGGTGGATTGGGTTCCAAGTTACAGGTTTCAAAGTTACAAGTAACGCAGATGGAAACGCAAATTTTACCATAAAATCCATTTTTACCGTAAAATATCATACTATAAATTTTGCAGTAATATTTATTTAATTAAAGTGATTCACTAATTTTGCTCATATTATTCCTTTCAAAATAACGGAATATCAGATTTCTCTTCCCGCAACATGTTCGGTAAAATGGATTTTACATAAAGAGTGCCGGCTCACGGGTTACCGATATTTTTCACTATAACTTGATCCAGAATTTTTTACAGTGTGGACATAGGGCTAATGTGTACAGTCCGCAAAA